GATCGTGCCCTAATATATGCAGTGTGTGTTGTTTTCTGTCAGGAGAGAGAGTTATCTCAGCCGGAGCTGGACGGTGAGTATCACTCATGAACATTGGTCATCATAACACGCACATTATTACACACACATAACACACACACACATGTCATTCTCAGAGCTGGCGGAGGCCTTCAAAGAGTTCGACTATGATCAGGACGGCTATCTGAACTACAAAGACCTGGCGGAGTGTATGAGGACCATGGGCTACATGCCCACCGAGATGGAGCTGCTGGAGATCATACAGCAGATCAAGATGAGGCGTGAGTCGTGTGTGTGTGTGTGTGTGTGTGTGTGTGTGTGTGTGTGTGTGAGTGGGTGGTCTGATGGACTTTGATGATTTCTGTGAGCTGATGGGGCCGAGGATGATGGTGGAGACAGCTGACATGCTCGGACTCAAAGAGATCAAATCCTCCTTCTGTCAGGTCAGACATTCAGCACACACAGACATATTCACTCAAAGGGCACCTAAGCGTAACTCTGTGCGTGTGTGTGTGGTCAGTTTGACACTGATGGCGATGGGAAGATCTCTGTGGATGAGATGAAGGAGGCTGTGAAGAATCTGCTGGGAGAAAAACTGAAGAAAGGAGAACTGGAGGAGATTCTGAAGGAGCTCGACCTCAATGGAGACGGAACTGTGGACTTTGATGGTGAGCAGATACATACACACAAACACACAGATATGATGTTCTGAGTTTGTTCATGTAAATTTCATTGTATATTCAGGTTATGTTCAGGTTAAGTTTTGGTTATGTTCCGGTTAAGTTTCAGGTTTGTTCAGACTATGTTCTGATTTTGTTCAGGATATGATTCGGTTTTGTTCAGTTTATGTTTGTGTTAGATTCTGGTTATGTTCTGAATTTGTTCATGTTAATTTTATGTTATGTTCAGGTTATGTTCAGGTTTAGTTTTGGTTATGTTCCGGTTAAGTTTCAGGTTTGTTCAGGCTATGTTCTGATTTTGTTCAGGATAAGTTTCGGTTTTGTTCAGGTTATGTTTGTGTTAAGTTCTGGATATGTTCTGGTTTTGTTCATGTTATTTTCCTCTCATGTTCTGGCTATGTTCAGGTTAAGTTCCAGTTATGTTCAGGCTGTGTTCTGATTTTGTTCAGGATAAGTTCCAGTTTTGTTTAGATGGTTAGTTTCTGGTTTTGTTCAGGTTATTTTCTGGTTTTGTTATGATTTTGTTCTGGTTATGTTAAGGTTATATTCAGTTTTTTCTTGTTCTGTTAAGGTTTAGTTTATAGGTGTATTCCACAAAGCAAGGTTAACCAACCATCTGCTTAACCCTCAACTATGTTTGCTTTACCCTCAACTATGGGTTGATTAACCCTCACCTGACATACTCAAGGAATGCTGATTCCAGAACCGCTCCTGTGTTAAGTCAGCTCAGAGCATGGTAACTGTTAAATGGCAAGCTGAATTCTTAAAATGTATTGCCCCCTATTTGTAAATGTACATTATATTTATAATATATCTTAATTTTTTATTATTGTGAACAAGAATTGTGTTTGTTACATGCTAATTCTATATTAAATAAACAATTAATTTAAATAAAAATCACTCACACTTGCTCAGAGGTAAACTTAACCTGAACATAACCTAATTTGAAGGTTACTCCAGATCAAATACTCAAATCACATACTCAGATACTCAGGTTAAGTTCAGAGAACAAGTTACTATGGTAACTTACGCTGATATATTCCTCAGATTGTGAAACCGAAAGCTGAGGTTATCTACTTACTTAACAATAAACATATTTGGGTAAGTCACATAACTATGTTCAGGATATGTTCAGGTTATTTTTAGTATATGGTCTGGTTATGTTTAGGATTCATTTGGGTTATGTTCAAGATATGTTCAGGTTATGTTCTGAATATGTTTAGGTTATGTTTAGAATATGTCTAGGTTATGTTTAGGATATGTTCTGGCTATATTCTGGATATGTTAATAATATGTTCTGGTTATGTTCAGTATATGGTCTGGTTATGTTTAGAATGCATTCTGGTTATGTTCAGGATATGTTTTGTTTATGTTCTGGTTATGTTCAGGTTATGTTCAGGTTATGTTCTGAATATGTTTAGATTATGTTCAGAATAGGTTTAGGTTATGTTTAGGATATGTTCTGGCTATGATCAGGATATGTTAAAGATGTGTTCTGGTTATGTTCAGGTTATGTTCATAATATGTTCAGGTTGTGTTAGGGATATGTTCTGGTTATTTTCAGAATATATTCTGTCTATATTCTGGATATGTTAATAATATGTTCTGGTTATGTTCAGGATAAGTTCAGGTTATGTTCCGGATATCTTCAGGTTATTTTCAGTATATGATCTGGTTATGTTTAATATATGTTCAGGTTATGTTAAGGATATGTTCAGGATATGTTAAGGATATGTTCTGGTTATGTTTATGATATGTCCAGGATATGTTCAGGTTAAGTATTTGTTTTGATTATGTTCAGGATATGTACTAGTTCACAAACTGATATTTAACCAATCAACTGGGACTGAGTTTGGACACCACTGAACTAGATAATCTTGAATAAATGTTTATTTCATTTTCAGCTATTTTTGTACAGCAAGTAAACATGTCTGCAGTGTAAATGTGTGTGTTTCTCTCTGTGTTCTTCAGAGTTCGTGATGATGCTCTCGGTTCACTAACGGCCTCATCCTGCTCCTCATTTCACATCTGATGGGGATCTTTCATCCTACAGCAATGACACACACACACACACACACACACACACACACACACACACTACAGTCAGATTCATTTTCATCCAGATGTAACGGAGCATTGTGCACTTTAGATGACTGTATACTGAATGTACTGTAAATGTTATTTTCATGCGTGTAGACATTTGAACGAGTGTCGAAATCTTCTCCTGTAATGTGGACAAATGTATTTTTTTAGTTTTGATAATAAACAGTGAAAGTCTGAGAGGTGTGTATTAATATAAGCCTTATGAAGGAAGCAGTACTCTCAGCTGAACGTCAGATGATCAGATCTGCATGTGGAGTTTTACAGGTCTGTTATTGCTTTACTGCAGGTTTAAAGTCTTTAAAGAAGAGAGAGAGAGAGAGAGAATAGTGGAGAACTCACATAGAGCAAACACTAATCCAGCTCACACAGGAAACCATTAACACTGACCTGACCCTGACTGGACTACTGTATTACAGCAGCATGTGTGCAGTAGACCGATTTGGTGCTCAGCATAATTGAGTACAGCCCATGTTGAAAATTATTATGTTCCTCCATTTCTTAGTGAATATAGGCAGTGTATTTAGGTGCATTTAAACAAAACAGATTTATTAAACAGATATATTTATGAAAATAATATTTCAGTCACCCAACATATTAAGAAATCGAAAGATAATACAATTAAATCCAAGCAAAAAACATTACAACCTACACAATCTCACAATTTTTTTTTTTTTTTTTTGCTTCTCTTGATTTTTTCTCTTTTTAAAATTTGCATTTAATATTTTTCTCTAAACTATAAATTTGGCTGTAGTAGTTTCTGGACCGTTTTCGTAAGTTATTTTATAGATAAGCTCTAGATTTGGCTTCAGGTAGTACTAATCTAATTTGCACAAATATAAAAGTAAAATTATAGAGCTTCCTATTAAACGTGAATTTAAAAGAGAGATTTGTGAGGGATGAACATATATGCTGAGCACTGTATATATACAATAGATTTATGTACAGTAGGCAGATATAAAGTAGACTGGAGTACAGTAGAATCATACAGTAGACTGGTGTTCAGTAGACATGTGTATATTAGTCTGGTTTACAGCAGACTGATGTACAGTAAACAGAGTTTCTGCGCCCTCTGCTGGTCAGTCTCAGCAATGTGCAGTATTGTAGTCTGAATAGAAGGTTTTAAATAGCGTACACTGATATTTTGCTCATTTAATCGAGCATTTGACAAACTTTTGATTGTATTATGTATTATTCTGGGAATCATCAGACAGAAGTGGAACAGATGAGTGGTGTCTGTGCAGTTATTAGTCAAGGCAAGTTTATTTCTATAGCACATTTCATACACAATGGCAATTCAACGTGCTTTACATAAACAGGAATAAAAGAGACAAGCATAAGAAAATAAAAACATTAATATTAAAGGGATAGTTCACACAAAAAAAAGGACAATTCGGTGTTTTTTTTTCAGAACAACCCCTTCCCCAACAAATGAACTCCTTACACACGAGGATATACATAAGATAATAATAAAAAATAATAATGAAAATATAATAAATAAATAAATAAATAATTTAATTAATTAATTAAATAATAATAATAATATAAATAAAAAAATAAAAGGTATTTGTAACGACGGGGAGTGACACAAACAACTGGGGTATGATCCACAGTGCAGGTTCATTCATTGTCAGGCAAGCAATGGTCAAAACAGGTACAAACGAGTATATGGAGACAGTCCAGAATCATAATCAGTATACAGGCGAGAGGTCAAAAGGCAAGCGGCAGGCAGGGAGAACGAGAATACAGGTAACACACGGGGAAACAAGACAAGAAATAACGCATAATAATGTCATCTACTGATAAACAAGACTCAGCCAACTGAATAGGTGAGTGTGTGGCTTTAGTAGTGTGTGCAATCAGTCTCTGACAATCCTCAGGTGGTGCGAGTAATCAGTCTAGATGAGGAAGCATGTGTGAGTGTGACCGGAGTGCATTCATGAATATGTAGTCCAACAATGGCGGAATTGTAGTCCAAGGCTATGTTGAGTGAGAACCAGCGATCTTATGGAATCCGATCGCTGGTAATCATGACAGTATCGCCATCGTAATTATTTCACAGGGGATACATTTGTACATCAAGTTACACTGTGTTGCATTGTACATCAAATTCAAGTGATGATAGGTCAAGCAACCTCTAAATATACATATCTAAATGTGTCACAATACTTTTCCACCTCTTCAGAAAAATATCAGTCTTCGTTTGTAGACATGCAGTCATTATTTCCATTATATAGACCTGTTTAATTCTCTGAATCCACTGAGCAGTGCAGCTTTGGAGAACTTTCTTCCATCCAATGTACTGTAATCTTTTTTTTTTTTTGCAACCAGTAATAATATCCTCTGGACAAATGTTGTTTCCTTATTAAACATTTCTTTGGGCAGTGCTTCTGTAGCAGAGGTCAGCTAGTGTGTGCTGTGCAGGTAAACCTCACTCCTCTGACCTCTAAAGGTGCTCTAGTGACAGACACTAGAGGTCATGGCCTTTAGCCTCCTTGGTAGAGCAGCCGACTCCCATGCGGAAGGTCGCCAGTTAGTTACCAGTTCAGAGCGGGTTGAGTGGTGTAGGACTGGCAGGGCTACACTCCCAATAAGCATATAACTGGATGGATGGGGTATTTCTGTCTAATATCTTATCTATTTCTTTATTAACATTTTTCCATGGACAGTACCAAAAATGTGAGTATGATCACCGATTTTACCGCATTTTCTCCAGCACAAAGCTACAGATGGTCTTCTTACACATCTAGATATTACAGAAGGAGTATTAAAGTATCTCACTTTTACTTTGCTATCAAATTCTTTCCACAATTGACTGTTCATTCCTTCATGGCATCCTTCACATAACTCAGTCCATAACTCAGTCATTATTCCAAACCTGTTTGAGTTTCTTCACTCTGTTGAACACTACATAAGATATGAAGAAAGCCAGAACTGTGTAACTATTAACTCACTATTTGTTTTCCTACTGGAAGTCGATGGTTGCAGGTTTTAGGCTTTCTTATCTTTTTTTGTGTGTTCAACAATAAAAAACTCAGAGAGGCTGGAAAACACTTGACAGAGAATCAATAGTGAGTACATTTTTTTTAGTGCGTGTGTGTGTGTGTGTGTGTGTGTGTGTGTGTGTGTGTGTGTGTGTGTTTGCGAACACATAAAGAAGACAGAATATGAACAAAGAGGGTTACATAACTTAAATAAATCCCAGGAAATTATACAAGTGTAAGAGATTTGCATTAAGACGAGTTTTACACGCAGTGTAATCACTATAGCCTTTTAAATAGTTCACAAATAAATCAGAATATTCTCAGAAAATTACATTTAGGAGCATTTTTTTTTCAAATGTACATTTATGAAAGTAAAGTTTAGCAAGAAAAAGCAAATAATAATAAATTTACAATGAGAGTGGTCTGTGTTTAAATAATACAATGTTGGGCAAATACAGAAATAATATGATATGTTTATAAAAGTGGAAAAGTCGACCTAAAACAATTGAAGTTCATTCATTAAATTTCCTTTAGCTTAGTCCCTTTATTCATCAAGGGTCGCCACAGCGGAATGAACCGCCAACTATTCCAGCATGTGTTTTACACAGCGGATGCCTAGCCAGCTGCAACCCAGTACTGGGAAACACCCATACACACTCATTCACACACACACACACACACACACACACTCATACACTATGGACAGTTTAGTTGATCAATATAGCGCATGTGTTTGGACTGTGGGGGAAACCGGAGCACTCGGAGGAGAACATGCAAACTCCACACAGAAACGCCAACTGACCCAGCCGGGACTCGAACCAGCGACCCTCTTGCTGTGAGGCCACAGTGCGAACCACCGAGCCACCGTGTCTCCACAACTAAAGTCCACTCTCTAAATAAGTGATGTAACCAGACAGTCCAGAATGAGCGTTTGTGGGAATACTGTTATTAGAGTTACCGATATGAGGCTGGTAGTCAGCTTGGTAAGAGGTGATTCTTTTTGGACCTTTTTGCAGTTATTCGTCTCGTTTTCTATTTAATTATGAGATTTAAATACTGTATTTAGCTGTCATTTAAACTACTATGTTTAGCTGGATTAGCTTGTTGGGTGGTCATTATAACCACACTTTTTGATGTACCAAAAATATTTATTTTAGGGCTGTCTCTCATCCCTGTATGAACAGAGTAGGAGTCTGATTCGCATTGCCAGCAATACAGTTGAAGTCAAAATTATAAGCACCCTCCCTGCTGACAAATCCAGCCTAAACCAGTCTAGGCTGGTCGACCAGGCTGGTTTAAGAGGGGTTTTGGCCACTTCCAGGCTGGTTTCCACCCATTTCCAGCCAGGTCTTAGCTGCTCAGGCTGGGAGATGACCAGCTAAAACCAGCTTGACCAGCCTAGCCAAGCTGGGAGTCCAGCCAAAACCAGCTATATCCAGCTTAAACCAGGCTGGTCAAGCTGGTTTTTGCTGGATTTGGCTGGTCATTTTCCAGCCTGACCAGCTAAGATCAGGCTGGAAATGGCTGGAAACCAGCCTGGAAGTGGCCAAAACCCCTCTAAAACAACCTGGTAGACCAGCTAAAACCAGCCAACCAGCCTAGGCTGGTTTAAGCTGGATTTTTTAGCAGGGCTTTGCATCTGTTTTCTTTTTTAAATATTTCCCAGATGATGTTGAACAGATTCAGGAAATGTTCACAGTATGTCTGATAATATTTTATTCTTCTGGAGAAAGTCTGATTTGTTTACATGTCACATTAAGCTGTATAGAAGTGTCTTGAAGAATATCTAGTCAAATTCACTGTCATTATGATAAAGAGAAAACAAATCAGTTATTAGAGATGAGTTATTAAAGCTATATGATTAGAGATATGTTGGAGAAATCTGCTCTCTGTTACACAGAAATTGGGGGGAAAAAATAAATAGGGGGCGAATAATTCTGACTTCAACTGTATTTGACAAATTCTGGACCCTAGTCATTTAGGGCTGGGTCTTCTGAACCGCCCTGGCTACAGGCCTGGATAGTTTACTAGATAGTTGAATATAAGTTAGATGATTATGTCAGACTTTTCTTAGTGAAGAAGCCAAAAGTATTCTCATTATTTGTCACCAAATACAGTATATTATTCCAAAAACAGTGAATATGTAACAAGACATCTGAGTCCATATCTTCATTTGACATTGATTTTGGTCGACAAATAAGTTTGTATTGCTAAATACTGCCCATAAGCTAATCTACAGTGCGCGTGTGTTCTCAGCAGTCGTGTTGGTGATGATGAATCGCGTCATCCGGGTATTTCCGCCCACGGGAGCGCGCCTGCTGTAGTCCCGCGGAGGCGCGCGGAAGGAAAGTGTTGTCGCGGTGTGTCGTTTATTTTTCACCGTCGCCCGGAAACGTTAAAAAGTGACCGAGAGCTGTGGAGACCCGCGACATGGACGGTAAGTCGAGCTTTAATGCCGGGTTTCTGCATGTGAACGGCGCCAACGGGGGGTTTGCGGTGTCGCGCGGAAGGGAAAGTCCCGCCGCTAAACTTTTACTCTCGGTTTCGGCTGAGAATCGATCGGTCCCCTGTCTCCGGGGCTCAGGTCGGTAAACGGGTCACGAGAATCAAACACGACAACCATTACAAGGCTGCAGAGCTGACGTATCGCGGCCTACAGGTGTGTGTGTGTGTGTGTGTGTGTGTGTGTGTGTGTGTGTGTGTGTGTACACAAACAAACAAAAACACTTTCAAATACTTGTCAAAAAGTCCTCAGAGATCACGCGATACGCGGAAAGTGGCTTGTTGACAAGGTTACGTTAACTTATGTTACTTTTCCTGGTAACGTTAACTGCTAAGTTCTGTGTGGGTTGGTTAATGCTAGTTAGTAGCTAGTAAACTTCATCGCCTGTGTGAGCTAACGTTAACTGACGTAGCGAAAGTAAAGATGCACTAACGTGATATTTGTATTATGTGGCTGCTTGTTCATTGTGGACATCTGACGATAAACCTGTTTAGGGGTGTGTTGGCTAGTTCTGGTTATAAACTCATCTCCTTCATGGACTCACTGATTTAGCACAGGTAAAGCTACTCAAAGTATATCTATACTCTTTATTTGGTCACTTGTTCATTGTGAATGTCTGATGATAATACTCATGTTTAGAGTGGGTTGGTTAGTGCTAGATAACTAGTAGTCAATGAACGCCATTATTAACTCTTTGATTTAGCAAAAGTAAAGGTACTTTGTCACAATATTTATGTTGTTTGCCCACTGGTTTATTGTGAATGTCTGATAAGGAACATATTTTGGGGTGGGTTAGTGCTAGTTATGGCTAGTAGTCATAATCACCTTTGTGAACGCACTGATTTAGCGTGAGTAATGCTGCTTGTTTATTTGGCCACTTGTTCATTGTGAATGTCTGATGATAATACTCATGTTTAGAGTGGGTTGGTTAGTGCTAGATAACTAGTAGTCAATGAACTCTATTACGAACTCACTGATTTAGCAAAAGTAAAGATACTTTGTCACAATATTTATGTTGTTTGTTTGCCCTCTGGTTTATTGTGAATGTCTGATAATGAACATATTTAGGGGTGGGTTAGAGCTAGTTATGGCTAGTAGTCATAATTACCTTTGTGAACTCACTGATTTAGCGTGAGTAATGCTGCTTGTTTATTTAGCCACTTGTTCATTGTGTATATATGATAATAAACATGTATTAGTGTTGGGTTGTTTAATGCTAGCTAACTAGTAACCAAAGCCACCTTTTTGAACTGGTTTAGAGAAAGTAAAGCTACTCTATTACAATTTTTGTGCTGTTGCCACTGATTCATTGTGAATATCTGATGATAAACCTGTTTAGGGGTGGGTTGGTTAGTGCTAAAAAACTAGTAGCCACCTTAATCAACTCACTAATTTGGCAAATGTAAAGCTACTCTATCACAATAATGACCACAGGTTCATTGTGAATATTTGATAATAAACATGTATTAGTGTTGGGTTGGTTAGTGCTAGCTAACTAGTAACCAAAGGTACTTTTGTAAAGCTACTCTATTACAATATTTGTGTTGTTTATTTGGCCACTGATTCATTGTGAATATCTGATGATAAACATGTTTAGTTGTAGGTTAGTTGGTTTGTGGTAGCTAACTAGTAACCAAAGCCATGTTAGTGAACTGATTTAGAGAAAGTAAAGCTACTCCATTACAATATTTGTGTTTCATTGTGAATGTTTTATAATAATAATAATAATCATAATAATATTAATAATAAGCATGTTTGGTAATAGGTGGGTTGGTTCGTTCTAGTTAACCTGTTAAAGTCTCCTTATATAGAGTAAGTAATACTGCTCAAAATGTTGTTTGTTTGGCTGCTTGTTGATTGTGAATATCTGATAATAAACCTGTTTAGGGGTGGGTTGGTTAGTGCTAGAAAACTAGTAGTCAGTGTCGCCTTAATGATCTCATTGATTTAGCAAATGTATCACAATAATGGCCACAGGTTCATTGTGAATATCTGATAATAAACATGGGTTAGTTAGTACTAGTTATGGCTAGTAGTCAAAGTGTCCTTTGTGAACTCACTGATTTAGAGGATGTAATGCAGCTTGTTTATTTGGCCACTTGTTCATTGTGAATATCTGATAATAAACATGTATTAGTGTTGGGTTGGTTAGTCATAGCTAACTAGTAACCAAAGTTACATTTGTGAACTGATTGAGAGAAAGTAAAGCTGCTCTATTACAATATTTGTGTTGTTGTTAGTGGTAGGTTAGTTGATTAGTTCTAGTTAACTATAGGCATTGGTCGGTATAAGATTCTGGCGGTATAATAACCTTGGATAAAGATACCACAGTTTCATGGGATAGTGATTACTGCTCTAAAATATATTCTTTTTAAATGTCTGAGTAAAAAACTAAAAGTTTCCCTTTGAATACAATATATCTTAATTTGAGAAGTATTTAATATATTTTGGAGCAGTAAACATGTCAGGTTGAATAATTCAATGAGTCACTGACCTCTGCTGTCTTCATTCATTTATTCATTTTCTTGTCGGTTTAGTCCCTTTATTAATCCAGGGTCGCCACAGCGGAATGAACCGCCAACTTATCCAGCAAGTTTTTACGCAGCGGCCTCAACCCATCTCTGGGAAACATCCACACACATTCGCACACACACTCATACACTATGGGCAATTTAGCCTACCCAATTCACCTGTACCACATGTCTTTGGACTGTGGGGGAAACCTGAGCACCCGGAAGAAACCCAAGCGAAGGCAGGGAGAACATGCAAACTCCACACAGAAACGCCAACTGAGCCGAGGTTCGACCCAGCGACGTTCTTGCAGTGAGGTGACAGCACTACCTACTGCGCCACTGCCTCGCCTTTGCTGTCTTCATTTGTTTCAAAAACACAGATTTCTTTATGATCTAAAATGGCATTTTTGGAAATCTTTTCTCCTGGAGATACTGTTTTCCTAAAAAAAAGAGAAAAATATTTAAATTAAAAAGTCTTCCACAAGTCTTCCACATACCTCAGGAACGGTATAGCAGAACATCTGGGTTTAGTCACAACCTGGACTTTTCCATATCACGGTATACCTTGAAAACGGTTATCGTCCCATGCCTAGTTAACTAGTAGTCAAAGTCGCCTTTGTGAAATAACTGATTTAGGTTAAGTAATGCTGCTCAAAATGTTTACTTGGCCACTTGTTGATTGTAAATATCTGCTAATTAACATGTTTAGGGGAATGAGGTAAAGTTGATTTTATATTTGGACATTCAGTCATTTTAATGATCCCTATATTGTTCGCCATGCTACTTTGATTATTGTGTCTTTACACAGTAACATTCCACAGCGGAATGAACCTCCAACTATTTCAGCATGTGTTTTACACAGCGGATGCCATTTCAGCTGCAACCCAGTACTGGAAAACACCCATACACTCTCACCTCAATTAATCAATAACATTTAAAAAATAATTAAAATATTTTGCCGAAAAAAGCTCATCTTTTTAACCTCTCATGCTTTATTCTGCAATAACACAACCAACTGGATGTACATGGTCCTTTACTTAAAAATCATTTAGTTCTGAGGAACAGAGATAGCAAAGGTTCTGGAAATACTGTAGACCTTCCTCAAACGAATAATCAGATTTAAGGCTCTAAGTCAGGAGTGCCCAAATACTGTCCTGGAGAGCTGGTGTCCTGCATAGTTTAGCTCCAATTTTCTTCAACACACCTAGCTGGAAGTCTCTAGTATACCCAGAAAGAGCTTAATTAAATAGTTCAGGTGTGTTTAAATGACGTTGAAACTAAAATATGCAGGAAACTGGCCCTCCAGGACCGAGTTTGAGCACCCCTGCTCTAAGTGTTTATCTTAAAAAATATGACAAATTTCTACCATATTCTCATGTTGACTTTGTAAAAGTAGAGATTTGACAGCAAAAGACGCCCGAAGCACAGACTGACGTTGGGCCTTTGTGTAGTTATGTTAAATAGTGTGTAAACATTCAGAGATTGTGGTTTCTGTGCGACACCTGTAGCAGCATTGTGTTTATACTCGTCAGTCAAGAAAGGAGTAATTGACAATGGACTGTTTTACAGTGTTAGAAAGTAAAGCAAACCTGAGGTGGTGATGCGGTGAAGCAGAGATGTCCAATATTCTCTAAGGCCCAATCCCAATTCTATTGTTGTACCCCTTCCCCTTGGCCCTTGAAACAGAGTGTGAAGGGGAAGGGCTTTAAAATTCACCCCTAAGAATTGGGCCAGCACTACAGCATCTGCACACGTCATCATGTGTCATCGCCATCTCCTGCTTCATATGAGATCAGACGATGGAGACTGCTGGAGTTACTCCAGTTGTGTTGTTTGGTGTTTATCTTCAGGACATCACTGAAGGCAGATATCATGTTATCATGACATATAATGTGGCAATAAGATCATAACTGTACTGTGTGTTCACACCGTGGCCATATTCATCATGTAAACACACCAGAACAGCATGAACACTACAGCAGACACTGTGAACAGCTCATCACACACACTAGACTCTTCTGACAGGGGATTGGAGTGCTCTTCTCATCTGGTCTCCAGCACCGCTGCTGAATCCACTGCTGAGATGTTCTATGTTTGAGACTGTGTTAATCAGGTGTGTGTCCTCCTCAGGCGTCTCCTGTGTGTCCTCCACATCTCCTCCTCCTCCTTCTGTTGTGTTCTGATGTAATTTCTGACTGCTGTAGTTAAAATAACACTAATCATTCAGTGTAGTGATTTGGAGCCACTGTAAACCTGCCGGAACTTCTTTAGCTGTGCCTATATCTGACAATAACCAAGCACCCTAATGCACATCAGCATCAGACAGATTTAGGACTCATTTTTTTCTTAGTCTGATTTTACTTTGCTTCAGGGTTTTCTTTTATGCTCATTTCATCACAGACTGATGGTAAATGTGCTGTGATTGCATCATGATGATGACAGACTGTTTACATCCAGAGATCTCGACTAGCAGACGGGTTAGTCATAAAACTCCTCCAGGTTTAACTGGGTCAATATGTGCTCGCCGTCTTCCGGCCTTTCTGGATTTTCTTCTTTTTTCCTTTCTTTTTCTTTTATCAGTCTCCTGAGTGTAATGAAAACACAGCGTACGGAAGAAAACACAACAGCAGAGAGGGCTGGAGATTTGAAGACGCTCGCTTTTTATCAAACATGTCAATAAAAACACAGAGGATCTATTATTAATTACATTACATTTATTTATTTTGTTATTAATCACTTTTATACTTCGTTAGAGCACATAAATAAGCACACTACTGCATTAGTGATTGAGAAGCAACAAGTCTGTGTTATTATCATCAGATTTTCCTTTGAATATATATACATTTTATTATTATTATAGTTGTCTAATGCCATGCTCTCATAATATGTTTAAGTCCTTATTAATGTTACCTACTTTTTAAAGTGTTTTTGCACTTTCAATTTATTCACGATTCATTTTTGCCCAGCACTATTATTCATTCATTTTCTTGTGGGCTTAGTCCCTTTATTAATCCGCCACAGCGGAATGAACCGCCAACTTATCCAGCACGTTTTTATGCAGCGGATGCCCTTCCAGCCACAACCCATCTCTGGGAAACAATCACACACACACACACACACTCATCCACTACGGACAATTTAGCCTTCCCAATTCACCAGTACCACATGTCTTTGGAAACCGGAGCACCCGGAGGAAACCCACGTGAAGGCAGGGAGAACATGCAAATTCCACACAGAAACGCAAACTGAGCCGAGGTTTGAACCAGCGACCTTCTTGCTGTGAGGCGACAGCACTACCTACTGCACCACTGCCTCGCCCCAGCACTATTATATTCATTTAATTTCCATTGGCTTAAACCCTTTATTCATTAGGGGTTACCACAGCGGAATGAACCGCCAACTATTCCAGCATATGCAGCCTAAAATCAACGTAATATTTTTGTGTTTAGAGTTATTCAATAGGAGTGTTGATTATTGATCAATGTATTGTAATTGATGAATGTATTGTGTGTGTGTGTGTGTGTGTGTGTGTGTGTGTGTGTGTGTGTGTGTGTGTGTGTGTGTGTGTGTGTGTGTGTGTGTGTGTGTGTGTGTGTGTGTGTGGTCTGGCAGATTCAGCTCAGTTTGTTGTTGAAATGTGAGTTATTTTCAGATTCGTTTCAGAGTGTCAGACTTGTGAGTGACTAATCCTGTTCTGCAGCTTTAAGGTTGTTTATTTAGTTGTTGTTGTTTTAATCTCTGAAGTTTCTGAAGATCTCCAACATTACCAGCAATTGGACTGATGTGGATAAAATCCTCACTTTTTACAATAATTGATGTTTCAAAGCAGCTTTATAGAAGGTGCACATTAATGTATTGCAATCAGATTAGGGTAATGTTACAATCACAGAAGTTAATATATACATAGTTACCCTGCAATAATATTGCATATAGATGTTGTCTAGGTGTATAGAGTTGCCACGACACTGGATTTCAGTACCAATCAGTACTTTAAAAATGTCCCTTTGTCCTGTTGAGCGCGTTCTTAAACAGTGCTGATTTGTGTTCACGTGCTCAGCAGAAATGACTGTGATTGGCCGTGAAGCTCATCGGTTTACTGAACTCATTACTGTTTACGTAGTGTAGCCACAGATACAGGGACACTGGAGCATTTTAAAGTGACGATGATCAGCTGGTTTGTCGATAAGCAGACATACAAGCGATCCGCTGATGAATCACAACGTTAATATGCTCCAGTGTCCCTGAGATCAGCTGTGTTGTACTCAAGAGCGGTGTTGTCTCGCGCCTATTGAAGAGCGGGTCCGAGGGTGTGCCACGTCGCGGGGGCACTTTTGATCATTTTGGAAGGGCACTTTCTATCCAAGACTAAAAAAGGCATGTGCACTGCACAGGTTGAGCCCTATGTGTGCACTTGCCTGCCTGGAGTATGCCATCATTTTTTTTGGTGTGGTTTCCAAACCCAGTTTTCCCCACCAGAGTGAGCTGAGGCCGGCTCTGTCACAACCTTGCATGCAGTAGGCATGGGATGATAATCAGTTTTAAAACATACCGCGGTTCTAAAAAGTTAAGGTTTTAAAACCAATAAAATTTTCTGTTATATCGTTCATAAGGTATTTGTATTTTTTTTTTACGTTTTTATGTATTTTACGACAGTTTTATTTAGTTTTTTTTTAGGGCAACTTAAAATAAGACCCTCCACATAACAAGCTACTGGTCAATCCATGATTCAGGAAATATCTGAAAAACAAATCTCTTATGAACCAGCATCCAGCATGCTGAAATTCTGAACAGTGCAGTGGCTTTACTTCCAAACAAAGGAAAGATGTCCAATGATGCCTTTTCAAGTTGAAAAGAAGTCTGTGTTTTTGAAACTAACGAAGACTGCAGAAGTCAATGACTTATTTGAATTATTTAGCGTGACATTTCAAAATATTTCTAATATTAAATATATATATATCATGTTCAATGGGGTTGTTAATTTTTACCCAGAGTTTTAAAAAGAACTTATTTTGGAGCAGTAATCACAATAGCGTGGTATCGCGAAACTGTGATGTTTTTACTCAAGATCATCATACCATCAGAATCTTATATCGACTCATGCCTAGCGTGCAGATCAGCCTGTTGTTGGAGACCCCAAAACCAAAATATGACCTTTTATGATGGTAAATAGGGGCTCTTTAATGTGTACAGTAAAGCTCAACAAGTTGTTCAAATGCATGTTTTTGCTCGTCTGCTCATATGTGGTGATTTTATTATTGGCAATGATGGTCATTTACCTAATGGTGCTGTGAGTTAAATTGTTGTCCGATATCTCCATAGCTTTTATTACTTCATGAAATTCCCCTGCAGTTAGAAGGGTTCGTATTGACCATACACTGTAAGCCCGGACAGGTTGATTGAACTTAAAAAATTTATGGAAACCCGCTGCCCTAAAAAAGCTAATTTCGTCTCGTTGAAAAAACAACACTTTTTAAGTTTATTGTACTTAAGATTTCAAATGCATTTAATTAAATATTTAGTTGACTGAAATAAAGGTTTTTAGTACAACAATATTTAAATCTTAGGTACAATAAACCTAAAAAGTATTGTTTTTTCAACAAGACGAAATTAGCTTTTTTAGGGCAGCGAGTTTCCATAAATTTTTTAAGTTCAATCAACCTGTATAAACTTAAAACATAAAATCTTGACCTGAATGTTATGACAGAAATAATTTTAACCTTAGCTATTCACAATAAATGATTTAATGAAAATACCCCTAATTACAAACAAGGACAAAGAATAAAAATTTACTTTACAGTTTATTTAAAATCATTTAGAAATATCACTCCGAAACAAGTGACAAAACTAGAAAATGCCTTGTATAACAATTAGTCAATATTTATTGTTATAAATCTTATTAAAACACTTGTTTAAAATTTTTAAATACATTTTTACAAACATATCCAAAAAATAAACAACCACAGGATGTTATTACATTTTAACATTATGGAATATTTACACTTGCCAAACACTAAAGCATAGTTTTAATTTTTTTTATCTCACAGTTAGGACAGCAAGCCTGAAGGAACATGCCTTTTCTGTACCAGTTTACATGACAAGTTGATTTTTAACAGCCAGAATCTTACCCTTCAGCATCTTCTTACCCAAACTTGTTGAATAAAAAGAAGGGTATTGTCCATGCATTTTGTGTAGCCTAGGTGCAGTGCATAGGTTGATCCAAAAAGACACTTGGCCTGGGGAATATTGTCTATATTGTCCATTACAACATTTCCCTCCAAGATGATTCCCAGAGAATGGGTGGAGGTGGAAGGACAGGGGTTGCAGAGCCACATCTTAATTTTCTTGGTTAAGAATTCCAACGAGCACATGTTGATTTGAGTCTCCATCATCTGAAGCCTGACAACAATAAATAGATAACATAAATATATCTTAGAGGTGTACATTTGATTTTAATATATATTATTTGTATGTAATGTTTTTTAGTTGTATGCAAGCATAATTTGTTAATTGTATACCCAAACATATCCAGTATTCAATGATATATCAAATATAAAAATACTACAAATATTTTTGTATACAAGTCAATGCATACGGCATAAAAAGATTTGATATAATTAAATTACTAAAGACTTTATATAATTCTACTTATCATTTTAGAGTTTCAAAGGAGTTATAACATGAATTCAAATTTCATGTTGATCATTATTCTATTTATTAATGAACTACAATAAGACATTGCTTGGGTGATTTATTTATTGTTATTGCTAACATAAATGTACATTAAGAAATATAATGCAAAAAAACTTAGATTAATATACAAAAACTTTTATTAAGGATACTTACAAAACATGCTTTGAAGAACTGTTGGGTCATCACCAACAACTACTGGAAGCACTCAAATGGCAACACATGGCATGTCAGTGAGGTCAGACGCCTGAGGTGTTGCAGAGAAACAACATTGTATCATTTGTCAACATGAGAGAAAGGGCATTTTCATGTATTAAAATTTAGTCTCTGTCACTGAGGATTTCTAAAGTAATTATATAAATTTCAGAATTCAGCACACAATGGCATCAATTTATGTCAAAGGCATGTACAAACAATGGCATACACAAACCTTGTTATTTTGTAGAAGATAAAAATCTGTCCAGTGAATCCTCTCTTTGACCTGAAGATCTGAATCAGCTGTGGGCAGTGATGATCAAGAGACCAATATAATTCTTGCTTAAGATTCTTCCACACTATCTGGTTGAACTCTTGATACACCTGTAGTAGTAAAACACAAAAACGTTTATTAACATCAGAGAAATGTCAAAATTAAACAACTGTCAAATTAGCATGTTATCATGTTTATCAATACTGTACTCATTTCATTACAAATACATTCCTGATATATGCATGGAAATGGCTGGCTTTTTGCATAGCTCCCATGTTTAAATCTGCAATGTTTTAATAAGTACCATATTTTGTCACAAGCAAATGAGCAATACTTACATTTTCATCTCATCCTGGTTGGCCTGTCTTTGATCTTTCTGCAATCTACAGTTACAAAAATATACATTAGATTACTAGCTGACAAAACACATTTACATAATTTGATCTGTTATCTCCAAATTTCCCACAAACAGCTATTGTTAATCAAAAGAATTAGAGAGCTACAGTTAATTATTTAGCTTTCATTCTAATTAACTGAAAATTCACTTGCTAAGACTGATGAGCACGAGGTTGCATATCTTTAAAAACTGCCAACTAACATGAATTCGTATTTCCGAAGGGGCAAATCTCAATGTATTCTAGTCAGTTAATACTTCACTTACAAGAAAAAAAAAGTAAAAAAAATGTTAAAAACAGCTCAGGTTATGTTATGCTAAACATCTGACGACACATAACCACCACTGAAAAAATAATCAGTTTACACAAAAGATAACGCGGATGACTCATCGAATACAGCATCAATATTAAACTTTATACGTGACGACCTCATAAAGCATGTTTCCACGTACAGTAACTGTAACGAATTATATAGATGAAATGCAGCGGCCGTGATCGGTTATACGTGGCATAAATGAATACGCTAACACAGGCAAAACTTACATTAACTTTTTTTTACATAATATATGATCTATCATGATCCTATTACGCACGTCTTTGCACTTTTCACGTCTTAGAACTGTTAATAAATGTGGCAATGGCGGTTGCGATTGACCGGAACAATAACATGATCCTAACGTCAGACACAGCTTAATCTTACATGTGGTTTTCTTGCTAACGGTTACATACTTTGTTTATTAAAGGAAAACAATGTGGACTGTTTGAGACAAAAGTATGAAATCGTACTCACAGTGATCAGCAGCCATTAGAAAATGCGCGCTCACGCTGTATTCACCAGTGACGTCAGTCCAAAGACAAAGAGCCAATCACATTTCCCCTTGCACATCACTCCTTTACCAATAGACTAAAATAAGCTTTGTTAAGTACATTCAATTTAAACATTCCAGTAGAATCAAAAATATCATGCAAATCGTACAATAAACTAAACAAAATGGATAACTAAGCAAAAAAGTTGTTTTTTATGTTTATTGAATCTAAGTATTTTGAATTAATACAACTTTAGGGATAACAGTATATTTGGATTGGTTGTGAATGTTAATGAGCTCCGTCTCTCTCACGCACACACAAAATGACATTTAGTGTTTGTTCAAACTACTCCTTTAAAAAGCGCTAAATCAACACAATTCTTATTTTGTTTGTTTTGTTTTTTGACGGGGAACAACTTAATTGTTATGTTCAATCCACTGAAATATGTAAAAACTAATAAGTTAACTTAATTCCTTCACAATGTGCCAACTCAGTTATGTGGAACCCAGCATTTTTACAGTGATATAAACGTAACACGGGCAAAATAATTATACTTCATTTGTCAATAAACTATTTAAACAAAAGAAGTCAATGTCTGATTAAAGCTTTCTGACTTATTGTGTGTAGCGTGTGAGCTCTGTAATATAAACCCATCAGAGGAACATTAACCTATTTTATTTTTCACGAGATCTGCTGTGGATAAAGGTTAAACTATAATTAAACTAGGCATAAGAGAGACTGAGAGAGATGTATTGTGTTGTCTTTTTTTAAGCTATAATGTCAATCAAAAACAGCCAGGAATACATACACTACTTTGAGTCTTTGTCTGGTTTGAATCTAAATATCTAAACATTCTGAAATCAAGAAGCATTTTCTAGACAAGCAAAAATATTGTCTAGTTTTCAGAAATAAGTCAACATTAAGTGAGTTTTCCCTCAGAATAACCTGAACTAATCATGCTTTTGCTTTGGAATAAGTTTGTTACTTACACCATTGTTACAACCTCTTTGATGTTAGTCTAGGGTAAAAGTAATAACATTTAAGAGGTGTGGTACCCTTACAAGATGATGGGTGAAAACAAAAGACACAAATCAACAAAACTGCCAACAAAAGTGATTTAATGTACAAAAAAGTGAAATCAGAATAATGCCCAAATATATATACACTCAGAAAAATATTTACAATAATAAAGTAACAAATTAAACAAAGTATCAAACAAAATTAGGTCAACTCAAGAGTAAGGGGACGCCAGTGAAGCCAAATCAAAGAAATAAATATAACAAAACATTTCTAACTCATAAGCGAAACCCTTACCTCACTAGAACATGAAAAGAAAAAGAAAAGAAAAATCTTCAGCGCTGAGCGCCGTAAACTTACCTATTCTGAACTAAAACAAAACAAATACATAAGTGGCATTCACTTTCTTACCTGGTGTTTTAAACAATGGATTGACTACGTGTATGTAAGATGGAAGTCGTACGACATCTTCCCTGTCCGCCTTACTCTGAGGACAAAGTCAACTCTGTTTTGGATTTGAGCAGGTAAGAGTTGTGCCAAAGTAACAAACAAACAATCGAATATAAATGCACAGAAATCACAATCTCGTTCAAAAATGGGCAGAAAATATACTAAATAATTTTATCCAAACGAAAGTTAAGCAAAATTAACGAATAACAAAATCATGTCGGCAAGAATACACAAAAACGGGATCAAAGGAAAAGTGCGCTGTCATCCGCTCTCCCTAGCGTCCTTATATGTGACAGCGCCACGTCACCCAACGATGAGTGACTGGTCTCCTGACCAATCAGATTCCGCGAAGGCGGACCTAAAGGACATGACAGGTAGAGATGGGGAGAGAGAAAGAGAGGGAGATAGAAAAAGAGAGAGAGAACGGGACGCAAAAATTCTACCAATATACGGCAACCGTTACACCATTGACAGATTTTTTAGCTTGTTTTTAGGAAATAGATAAACAGCCGTAACAATCTCTTAAAAAGACGACTCCTGTCGGTACCACTGGTATAGTGGTTAGTGCGTTGACACATGCACTCCAGTGCTCACAGCGACCCGAGTTTGATTCCTGCCTCGCAGCCCTATGCGATCCTTCCTCTCTCTCTGCTCCCCATGCTTTCCTGTGAGTACTCTCTACTGTCCTATCGCATAAATGTGAAAACCCCTTAAAAATTATTATAAAAAAAGACGACTCGCAAGGAGAAATTTTGAATACCTGGTAAGAAAGCAACAAACAAACAATAGATGGTAAAACCCAAAAGACCAACAGGAAACAGAAACTATTTTTGAGCACTTCATATAGCCTAATTTTGCTGAAGAAACACTTTTTTTGTAACCAATTTCATCCGGCATAATGTGTATCTTTATTTTAATGTATTTTTTGTTGGTTAGTATTTCTGACAATTACCTTTTTTCATAGATTTGAGTTGTGAATTACAGTATCGCAATACTACTTAGTATCACGATACTTCAGCTGGTACAGTACCATAATGTGAATTCATGTCATCACGACAACCCTACTGCGTACATTTTAATGCATGTTAGCGAATTGCGTGCATAATAATGATCCCGTGTGCAACATATGAGTCTGTGTTTTAGCTAGTGATCTGATGACGCAGCTGCTCGTCAGGTCTGAATGACATAGAATAGGCGTCACCAACCCTAATCCTGGAGAGCTTCCTTCACATTCACCTCCATACCAAATGCCTCTGAGCCCAGAAAAGTGGACGACGCTTCTGGACACTGTTAACATAGGGCTTCCTCTTGGCACAGTGCAGTTTAGACTGGTGTTTGTGGATGTAACTCTGTATTGTGCTGCTTGTCAAAGGTTTACCGCAGTAGTGCTGAGCCCATGTGCTGATCTGCTTATAGATGAATGAGGACTCTTGATGCAGCGCCCCCTGAGGGGTCGGAGGTCACGGTTGTTCAGCTTAGGCTTGCGCTCTTGTCCTTTACGCACTGAAACTCCTCCAGATTCCTTCAGTCTTTAATGCTGTTCTGCACTGTTGAAGGTGAAATATCCACATGTCTCTTTCTCTGAGGAACATATCAATCCATGTTTTGGCTAGTGGTCTGATGACATGGCTGCTCATCAGGTCTCGATGGCGTAGAACAGGGGTCAGCGACCCGGTTCCTGGAAATCTACCGTCCTGTAGATTTCAGCTGCAACCCTGACCAAACAAACCTGCCTGTAATTATCAAGTGCTGCTTCAGGTCTAATTTAATTGGTTCAGGTGTGTTCGATCAGTGTTGGAGCTGAACTCTGCAGATGTCAGAGGAACAGGGTTGGTGACCTCTAATGAAGAATGTGACCTAAAGTACTAAAGGATATGCAAATCTTGAGGGCGTGGCCTTTTGGTCTCAACACACAAATTCCTGTGTTCTGATTGGCTGTTGTTCCCATGGGGTTTTATACTCGTGTAGTTTACATGAGAATGAGGAAACAATGTTGTCTGAGGCTCACAGTATTTATAATGCTCCTTTAAAAGCAGGAAACAAACACAGTTTAAGTCAGAATTATTCGCCCCCTCAGAACATTTCCTCTTTTTTTATTATCCCCAATTGATGTTGAACAGGTTCAGGAAATGTTCACAGTATGTCTGATAATGTTTGTTCTTCTGGAGAAAGTCTGATTTGTTTTATTTCGGCTAGAATAAAAACAGTTTTCAATTTTGAAACACCATTTTAAGGTCAAATTATTAGCCCCTACTATTATTAGTCTACAGAACAAACCATCATTATACAATAACTTGCCTAATTACCCTAGTGAAGCCTTTACATGTCACTTTAAGCTGTATAGAAGTGTCTTGAAGAATATCTAGTCTAATATTATTTACTGTCATCATGACAAAGAGAAAATAAACCAGTTATTAGAGATGAGTTATTAACACTATTATGATTAGACATGTGTTAGAATTGTAAAATGTCCGTTAAACAGAAATTGAGGAAAAACTAAACGGGGCTGATCATTCAGAGGGGCTGATAATTCTGACTTTAACTGTTTATTTGCATTCTTATTTATTGTTTTTATATAATGTAATCAGCGTATTGAAATCAGCAAATCAACTTCACTAAATGTTGTAGTATATTTACATTGTTACTCATGACAGTATAAATGCTTGGTATTTCGATGGTGTTCATTGTAGGGCTGATTAGGTTTTTCTTAAAGCTATACATATATACAGTTGAAGTCAGAATTATTAGCCCCCTTTAATGATTAGACAGCTTGTTTATTTTTTCCCTAATTTCTGTTTAACGGAGAGCAGATTTCTCCAACACATTTCTAAACATAATAGTGTTAATAACTCGTCTCTAATAACTGATTTATTTCCTCTTTGTCATGATGACAGTAAATAATATTAGACTAGATATTCTTCAAGACACTTCTATACAGCTTAAAGTGACATGTAAAGGCTTCACTAGGGTAATTAATTTAACTAGGCAGGTTAGGGTAATTAGGCAAGTTATTGTATAATGATGGTTTGTTTTGTAGATTATCAAGAAAAAAATATAGCTTAAAGGGGCTAATAATATTGACCCTAAAATGGTTCATAAAAAATTAAAAACTGCTTTTATTCTAGCCAAAATAAAACAAATAAAACATTCTCCAGAAGAACAAATATTATCAGACATACTGTGAAAATGTCCTTGCTCTGTTTAACATCATTTGTAAAATATTTTAAAAAAGAAGAAAAAAAATCGAAGGGGGCGAATAATTCTGACTTCAACTGTGTGTATATATATACATATATATTAGCGAGACTGAGAGAGAGAGAGAGAGAGAGAGAGACTTTGTGTTTCTCATCTGTTGTGTGTCTTGTTTTAATCTTTCAGGAATGTTTCACCAGTGGGGAACTTCGCAGGTGCCTCAAGGTGAGAGATCACACACACACACACACACACACACACACACACACACACACACACACACACACACACACACAATCACAAATCTCATACATCACATATCAAACTCTTAATCACGAACGCAATAACATACTGTATCACACAATCACAAATTTCATACACAAACACACACACACACACATCACATATCTTTCAGATGCAATCACATATCATGCACACACATGCAAACACACTCACACACACACACAATGGAGGACAAGCATCTGTTGTAGACCTTATCTTCACAGCCTCCTATTGTTCAATTATTAAATGTTGAAGTGATTATTAGTTATTGGTTTGTAATGAAAATATATTGTGTTATTCAACACTGAAATGTTTCTTAATCATCAACACTGAAGTAATTCATAAACCTGTCTGTCTGTCTGTCTGTCTGTGTGTGTGTGTGAGAGCAGGTCCTCCACATGTGGAGATCATCGAGCAGCCTAAATCTCGAGGGATGCGTTTCCGTTATAAGTGTGAGGGTCGATCGGCCGGCAGCATCCCTGGAGAGAAGAGCAACGACACCACGAAAACGCACCCCGCCATTAGGGTACGCAGACTAACAACACCTCTGACGCTTACTGCCGAAATATTAATATAGCAAAATATAATACAGTGAAAAATGCTGCATGCTCTGTCATGTGTATACGGACTGATGTTGAACAGATTCAGGACATAATCACAGTGTTTCCTCTAATATTTGTTCTTCTGGAGAAAGTCTCTATTTCGGCTAGAATAAAAGCAGTTTTTAATTGTTTTAAACCCATTTTAAAATTGGATTTATATACACACACACACACACACTAACATTAATTTTACACTGTGATTTTTACAGTGATTTAAAAAATTTTGCAATGATTTTTGCTGTGATTTATTTTATTTATTTATTTTTGCAGTAATATTTACAGTGATTTACAATAATTTTATTGTGATTTAGGAATAATTTCTACAGTGGTTTGCAATGATTTTACCGTGGTTTATAGTGATTTTGCAATGATTTGTACAGAGATTTTTTGCAGTAATATTAGGGTTGTAACGGTATGAATTTTTCACGGTATGATAATCGTCTAAAACAATACCACGGTTTGACGGTTTCGCGGTATACGGTATGTTACAAAATAATAGAACAGTGAAGCAAATTTGACTTTTTCCAAATAATATATTTTCAGTTACTATAAACAACACTACTTACAATGAACAAATAAAAAAATAAGAAAATAATAAATAATGTGTCAAAGTCCAAATAAAGTCCAAATAAACATGGTGCAAATCCTCAGTAAAAAAATAGATATAAATATTTACTATACTATAAATAGTTACATAACGAAACTAGATTCAATATGGAACATCCTTAGGTTTTATGTGCCAGCATGGATATGGTTGTCTATGGATATGGATATGGTTGTCTGCAATGCAGACAAACAGCTGCATCTTTATTTGCGTCTTTTGAAAACAGCAAGAGCAGCAGTTCGTCTTTGCTGTGTCACTGTTTTGTCATGTTTCTGTGCTGCTGTGCATGCAAAAGTACTTAGTATGAGAATTATTTCATGCAAAACTTTTTTTTTTTGCGTTTTATTTAGCCGCGCATAAATGTATGCCTATCTCTCATTCAGTGTTGTTCAAAAAGCTCATGTTGGTCCACAAACAAAAGCGAAACCTATGCTTATTGGTTGTGATATAGCGAGTTTGAACCAATCTGGTCATGGAGGAGGGACAATGCATCAATGTATCATGTCTGATTTGTCCGGAGACACAGTGGCGAGCGTTTCTTTGTCAAATCAGCGTTGTCAAATGTTGATGACGTAACCGCACTGATTCCGGAGCCTCTGAAAGTCCGTGAATGTTATGTGATACAGCACTGGAAAGCTGAGATTCTCTTCTTTATGCCAATCTTTGAATTGTATGAATCGGATCAGCGGATCAAAAGTTATTAAACATTTAAGAGCAATACTTATTTTTAGCCGCGGGCGGCTGTCTCGGTCTTTAAGGGTTAAAACCGTTGATATGCAATTGTTCATGGTATGATAATCGTGCACGTTCAAATCGTGCTGGACCGTCATACCGGTATATTGTTACAACCCTAAGTAATATTTACAGTGATTTAAAACTATTTTACAATAATTTACAATATTTTATAGTAATTTAAAAATCTTTTTTACAGTGATTTATAAAGTGATTTCCTAGTGATTTACAGTGATTTTACTGTGACTTTTTTTTACAGTGATTAAAAAAAATATTGATTTTACATGTTTTTATGCTGGGATTTTTTTACAGTGATTTTGCAATGATTTTAAAGTGATTTTACAATGATTTCCCCAATGATTTCTAGAGTGATTTTTTAAAAGTGATTTTACAGCGTTTTTGCATAGATTTTTTTCACACTGTGATTTTTACAGTTATTTCTACAATGATTGTACTGTGATTTCTACAGTGATTTACAATGATTTTGCAGTGATTTACAAATTTATAGTAACTTTACAATATTTTTATAATGATTTCTAGAAGGATTTTTTTTTTTTTTGCGATTGTACAGTGTTTTTTACAGTGATTTAGGGATTTTTACCATGAACTTTTTTTACAGTCATTTTTATTTTATTTTACTTTTTTACAGTAGTATTTACAGTGATTTAAAAATCTTTTTTACAATGATTTCTAGAGTATTTTGGGGGGGTATTTACAGTGATTTTACAAAAATTTTGCCATGATTTTTACAGTGATTTTGCTATGATTTTTTACAGTAATATTTACAATGATTTAAAAGTGATTTATAGTGATTTTACAATGATTTCTCGAGTGATGTTTAGTTATTTTACAGTGGTTTATAATGATTTTGCAACAATTTTTACAGCGTTTTTTTATTTATTTACTTATTTATTTATTTTTGTTATTTACAGTTTTTTTACTGTGACTTTTTTTACAGATTTTGCAATGATTTTTACAGTGATTATTTTAACAGTAATATTTGCAATTATTTTACAGTGATTTACAATGTTTTTACAGTGATTTAATAATCATTTTTATAATGATTTCTAGAGGGATTTTTTTGTGAATATATATATATATATATATATATATATATATATATATATATATATATATATATTTTTTTTTTTTTTTTTTTTTTTTTGCAGTGGTTTAGTGATTTTTACCTTGAATTTTTTCAATGATTTTAGGGTAATTTGTTGTGATTTACAGTGATTTTGCAATGATTTTTTACAGTAATATTTACATTGATTTACAATGATTTTACAGTGCTTTATAGTGATTTTACAATGATTTCTCCAAAGATTTCTAGAGTGATGTTTAGTGATTTTACAGTGATATTTACAAAGCTTTTACATTGATTTAGTGATTTTTTTAAAGTAATATTTACAGTGATTTACAATGATTTTACTCTGATTTATAGTGATCTTACCATGATTTTTACAATTTCTTGAGTGATTTTTAGGGATTATTACAGTGATATTTACAATGCTTTTACTGTGTTTTTACCGTGATTTACAGCACTAGAGAAGTAAAGCACAGTGTTTTTGTGCACACTGAAAAAACTGCTGGTCTTTTATACACACCGATGGGTCACATGACTCTGTCTGGCTTTTCTCATAGGTTCACAACTACAGTGGGCCGGTCAGAGTGCGGATCTCCTTGGTAACCAAGAATCAGCCGTATAAGCCACACCCACACGAGCTGGTGGGAAAAGACTGTAAACATGGCTACTATGAGGCAGATCTGCAGGAGCGCAGGATACACAGGTGTGTGTGGGTGTGTGTAAGTCTGAGTGTGTGTGGGAGTTGAGTACGTTTGTACCTGTGTGTGCATCTGTGTGTGTTCTCCAGCAGTTTCTTATGACTCTGTCAGAAATATTTTGCTGAACGTGTGTGTGTGTGTGTGTGTGTGTGTGTGTGTGTGTGTGTGTGTGTGTGTGTGTGTGTGTTCTCCAGCAGTTTCTTATGACTCTGTTAAATATGCTCTGCTTAACAGGCCTCTAGTGTGTGCGTGTGTGTGTGTTATTCTTCTCTAACTGTAGCGTCTGTCCATTGGAAACATCATGACTGCGTGTGTGTGTGTGTGTGTGTATTATTATTATCCATCTCTAACTGTAGTGCGTGTCCATCGGAAACATCACAGTTTCTGCTTCCTGTCTGCCTCTCACTGCCGTTTCTGGAGCGCTATGTCTTCTCGTGTGTGTGTGTGTGTGTGTGTGTGTGTGTGTGTGTGTGTGTGTTGGTTATAAATGGAGCGCAGAGACTCATTTCTGGGTTTCAGTTTCCAGAATCTGGGTATTCAGTGTGTGAAGAAGAAGGATGTGGGAGAAGCTGTTTCCTGCAGACTGCAGACGCAAAACAACCCATTCAAGAGTGAGTGACCCAGACAGACACACCACTGACAAATCACTGCATTTAACCCAACAGCTGCACCTGTGTTCATCCACATACAGTTGCAGTCTGAATTATTCGCCCCCCTGTTTATTTTTTTCCCTAATTTCTGTTTAAAGGAGAGCAGATTTCTCCAACACATTTCTAATCATGATAGTTTTAATAACTCATCTCTAATCACTGATTTATTTTCTCTTTGTCATGATGACAGTAAATAATATTAGACTAGATATTCTTCAAGACACTAGTATACAGCTTAAAGTGACATTTAAAGGCTTCACTAGGGTAATTAAGTTAATTAGGCAGGTTAGGGGAATTAGGCAGGTTATTGTATAACAGTGGTTTGTTCTGTAGACTGTTGAAAACAAATATAGCTTAAAGGGGCTAATAATATTGACCTAAAATGGTGTTTAAAAAATTAAAAACTGCTTTTATTCTTGCCGAAATACAACAAATAAGACTTTCTCCAGAAGAAAAAATATTATCAGACATACTGTGAACATTTCCTCAATCTGTTCAACATCATTTGGAAAATATTTAAAAAAGAAGGGGGGGGGGGGTGAATAATTCTGACTTCATCAGTATATACAGTTATTAGTAGGGCCAGACAGATTCTTCTGACATCTTTTACTATTTCTGCTGAGAATTTAGTAAAAATTCTGCAGATTTATGCGGAAGGATTGTAGTAGTATCGTAACTAAAAACTTAATATATGAAGTCAACAAATAATGCATTTTAAACTTTTATTTACTGTTTACTATGCAAATCCAATTAGATCCACTTGTTTGGTAATCAAAGCAAGTCTCTCATATAATAGATCTAAGACAAGACAGCTGTATTGTGAATAAATCATGTCAATATTTTAATACTCGTCAACATTATTACTGAATTTATTTAAAAACTGAATAAATATAAGATTACACACATTCACACAAGTAACTAAATAGACTCAGCCATGGGCTGGAAATCTGCAGATTTCTGCGTGTGCAGATTCCGTGTGGGCCTAGTCCTCAGTAGTAGTGTCAGTAGTAATTAGTAGTATGTATAAGTTACTAGGGCTGTCAGAATTCATTGTTTCTTCAATGCACTGAGAATCAGACGTGAACAGTGTGTTATTGGTTTAGTAATAATCATAACCGCTTATTATATACTGACGTCATTTATCACACATGCGCTATATGGCGGTAGCTTACTATAGCGAGGGAGGAGGCTGTGAGTAATTAAAACTGCTTCAACAACTTACAAAGCAGAAACTGTGCACAATTGACTGCTTGTGAGTTTGCTGGACAGTCTGTCACTGAGAGGGAAGTACAACAGAACCCAGCTCTCTCTCACTCTCTGTAGTCCCTTTGACCTGCTGGCGTGTTCGTGAGGTTTTGTTTTATCAGACCCTCTAGTGTTTCGCGAATTTATTTTATTGAAATCTTTTGTTTATTTATTTATTCTTTGCTAAAGTCATCCCTCAACCAATCTCCGTCATTGTAAGCTGCTGCTGTTTTGTCTGCTCTGTTGCTCTGTTTGTTAGATGTTTGCTCACACTTTATTTTACAGCGCGTCAAACGCACAATTTGCGCCACAGGATGCCTAATCGCATCTTTGCATTGACTTCACATGTAAATCACTCGCACTTAATCTGCGTCTGTTTACTGCACATGCTGCAAAACGCCGCCACCTGGCTTTCATGTACTGTAATGATTGTGAGGGCGCAGGTGAGACGCCGTTTTTCGAGAGACACTTAAATTGATCTCGTGTGCTGCGTATGCAACATCTATAAGTCATGTGACACACTCAATTGCAAATACAAATATAATTTGGTTTGGAATTTGTTGTTTAATAAGATTTAAATTTGTTTTGATTATTTTGCGTTTAAATAAGAATTTTGCAGAATCGCAAAAATGTGCGACTTTTTGTTGATTTTTGCGTTGGATTCAGCGATCACAGAATCGCACAAAACTAGGGGGTCTGTTTTATTTCCTCTCTCAGCTGCTACAACAATAACAGTACTTGTAACGTAACGTTACGACCATGTCTGCCGAGCGAGTTTTCTCCACCGCGACGCCGTCTATAATGGACCAGCTGATCGCCGCGGCCGATTAACATCAGTGTCCGTGTCACTGTTTGCTGAACAACACCAAAGTCGCGCTGACCATTAGAGCCAATCGCAGCCCTCTCTGTTGAGCGTGTGATCAATCATAGGCATTTAAGAACTCGATCAACAACGCTTCAAAAGCAAGCGGGATCAAAATTACATTTGTTTATTTTTGTGTCATTCTGTATTTGTGAATGACATTTTACAAACACATAACTGTTAATCTGCAACCTGGATTCTCTCTCTCTCTCTGCACGTGTGCATGTGTGTGTGTGTAGTTCCTGACGCAAAGATCTGGGAGGAGGAGTTCGACCTGAACGCGGTGCGTCTGTGTTTCCAGGTCTCCATCACCCTGAGCAGCGGAGATCTGTTCCCTCTGGAGCCCGTCGTCTCTCAGCCGATATACGACAACAGTACGACTGTGTGTGTGTGTGTGTGTGTGTGTCTGTTTGTGCATCTGTATGCGTTTGTGTGTATCTGTTTGTGTTTCTGTATGTGCATCTATGTGTGTGTTTGTGTGTGTGTAACTCTGTGTTTGTGTCCTGCAGGAGCTCCTAACACTGCTGAGCTGAAGATCTGCCGTGTCAATAGAAACTCCGGCAGCTGTCGAGGAGGAGACGAGATTTTCCTGCTGTGTGATAAAGTACAGAAAGGTGTGTGTGTGGCACTGCAGAGACACACACACACACAAATACAGAGACAGACACGGATACTTAAAGACAAACACACACTCTCAATCAGACACATAAACACACAAAAGCACAGAGACACACACACAGCCTGTTTCAGCATCGCTCATATACTGTCTCACTGAACGTTTGATTCATTCATATATTTATTTATACTGATCATTTTCAGTATTAATATTGTTCATAGGGCTGGGTTAAAATGCTGTGTGTGTGTGTGTTTCAGAGGACATTGAGGTGCGCTTCTTCCTGGACTCGTGGGAGAGTAAGGGCTCGTTCTCTCAGGCTGATGTGCACCGGCAGGTGGCGATAGTGTTCCGCACGCCGCCCTACTGCGACACTAACCTGACCGAGCCGCTGCGTGTCAAGATGCAGCTGCGCAGACCATCTGACCGCGAGGTCAGCGAGCCCATGGACTTCCAGTACCTGCCCTCAGACCCGGGTGAGCTTTATTACAGTGTTGCCATTACATACTGCATTAATACCTAGTTATTACAGTGTTAACTAAGTGTTATTACTGCATTATTATGGTTAATTAAGTATTATTACTGCATTATTATGGTTAATAAACTGTTATTACAGCATAATTACTACATTACTGAATTATTAGTGTTAATTAAGTGTTATTAATGCATTATTTCTACATTACCGCATTATTACGGTGTTAATTAAGTATTATTACTGCATTATTACTACATTACCGCATTATTACGGTGTTGAGTGTTATTACTGCATTATTACTACATTACCGCATTATTACGGGGTTAATTACTTGTTATTACTGCATTATTAATACATTACTGCATCATTACAGTGTTAATTAAGTGTTGTTACAGCATTATTACTACATTACCGCATTATTACTACGTTATTACTGCATTATGACATTATTACAGCAATATTATGGCAATATTACTGTGTTATTACTGCAATGTGTACGTGTTTTACAGCATTATTCCATTATTACAGCGTTATTACTGTTAATTCATTAATAAAATTTTTACAATGTTATTACTACATTATCACACTATCAGCATTATTACTGCATTATTATTGTTACTACTGCATTATTATCACTGTTATAACTGTTATCACTGTTATGACTTCATCATGGCATTATTGCTGCGTTATTACAGTGTTATTGCAATCTTAGGGTGTAATATAGTTTTGTTAATTCATGATTACTACATAAATACAGTGTTAGCAGTTATTACAGCATTATTGCTGCATTATCACTGTTATTTCTGCATTTTCTTTGTTTTCTTACTGTGGTAGCACTATTAACACGATAATAATGCAGTAATACTACTGTTATCTTTGTGTACCCGCATTATCACAGCATTACTACTGAGTTATTGTGACATTACCAAGTAATTACTGTGTTATTACTGCATTATTACGGTGTTAATAGTGTTGTTATTGGGTTCTTACTGCTTTATTACAGCATTATTACATTGTTATTACTGCATATTCTGTGTAATGTAATGAGATGATTTAATATTTTGTCGTGTGTGTGTATGTGTGTGTGTGAAATGAGCAGATGAGCACCGGCTGATGGAGAAGCGCAAGAGAACTGAAGGAATGCTGCATAATCTCAAGCTGAGCAGTATCATCACAGGTGTGTGTGTGTGTGTGTGTGTGTGTGTGTGTGTGTGTGTGTGTGTGTGTGTGTGTCAGTGGGTGATTGCGTGGGGTCAGTGTGTGTCTGTGTGTCTTTTTGTATGTTCGCTAATCACTAATGAATGTGTATGGGTCATTGAGTGTGTCTGTGTTTGCGCACTTATGAGTGTGTACGTGGTTATTGAGTGTGTGGGTGTGTGTGTGTGTATTAATGATCATCACATGATATCATTTTACTAATAGCTCAGAGGTCTGTCTTCTGGTCAATGTGTGTGTGTGTGCGTGCATGTGTAGGGTCCTCGATGTCTGCTGAAAGACGGCCATTCCCTACGGCTAAACGAACTCTACCTGTCTCCAAACAGCCAGTGGCAGCCAGTGCACCAGCCAGTGTACCAGCAGGTAACTTTTCCTCATCCGCTCGACCGTGGGTGTGTACAGCGGAGTAACACACACTGATCAATACTCTGTTCAATCAAACACACTGATCTCTCATTACCATTTACACATCACCTCTGCTGAATGCTGGATTCTGATTGGCTGCTGGTCACTCTCAGGTGTTTGGTTATTGTCAGATAAAGGCACAGCTAAAGTAGTTCCGGCAGGTTTAGAGCACAATACAGCTCCATATCACTCCACTGAATGATCAGAGTTATTACACAGCTACAACAGTCAGACATCACAACAGAAGGAGGAGATGTAGAGGACACTAGTGTTACACACAGGAGACGCTTAAGGAGGACACACACCTGACTAACACACTCACACACACACACACACACACACACACACACACAACATCTCAAGAGTGATTTCTGCATGAGAGCTGTGGTTTAAACAGTGTGCTGAGCTGTTTTCTCTCTGTGTCTGTCTAGTGTCCGCCGCTCCTCCACTGAAGCCTCCACCCACCTCCTTTTTCTCTCCGCCCCCCGGTCAGCTCTTCACCCAGCAAAAGATGGAGCCCTCACCCTTGCCGGCATCCTCCTCAGACATCTGGAAGTATCTGCAGGCCATGTCAGTGGACAGCCAGCCCAAAGCGGTGCCGGTGCTGCCCTTTCCCAGTGGAACCGTTTCCACCGGTAGGGATGCAAGGCTGATAACAGCAGCCAGGGGAGAGAATACTGTCCTGCACCCGTACACACTGCATTACACACACCTCACACACGTGCTCTTATTAGTGTAACGCATCACAGATCTCATGGTTTGCATCACATTGTCACGGATCAGACCATTTTTTGGATCAGCTTGTTATGTGCCGCCTTGAGCACGCAACAAAAAGAAGGGAACCAAACCAAGCTGAATGAAAAACTGCTAAGAGATATTCATTTAAAGGTTACAAAGACAAAATAATAACATAAAGTGCAAAGAGAAATCAGAGTAACCATTTTACATTTACATTTAGTCATTTAGCAGACGCTTTTATCCAAAGCAACTCACAATTGAGGACAAGGAAGCAATTTAAATAACCAAATTAATTTAAGTAACCATATCAAAACATTCCCCATAATGTTCAAAACAACATCAGATTACATCGGAGCAAAGTTCAAAATAAAGAAAAGTAATATAAGCAGTAGGTAAGCCAAACAAAGTCAAACCAAAAAACGATTCTCCCAAACACATCTTAGAAGCTCCTTTAATAAGCCAGAAGATTAGCCGCACATGCTGCACCATACTGAGTCACCTACTAAACATCTACTGCGTCCCAAATCGCATACTTATGCACTATTCTACTTCATTTTGTAGTATAAATAGTGTCAGTAGTGTGTTCACACTGAAAACTCTAAGAATAATAAGTGCACTTTAATTACCCGGATGATGCACTCATTCAGCCAGTATAATGAAGTGTGTAATGATGGACACTTCACGCACTCAACGACCGCAGGTTTGCTTACGTAGCGGAAGGGGCGGAGCTATCGGACGCACATGTTGGATAACTTTATTTATTTTGGATGGTGAAAGCAAAATTCTCCTATGAGAGTGAGTATAGCGCCTCCCGATGGTGAATGCGGCAATACTCACGGCAGGTATTATTAGATAATTCTGTTGTTTATTTCACTGATTTGGCGACTGTCACACGTCATCAGGGAAACGGTTTGAATTTCCGCTTAGTAAAAAAACATTAGTGCTCCATTTGGGACGACACTACATACATATACTGTCCTGTTGAGTGTGTAAGTACATAAGTACATAGTGCATGAGTGCATAGTGTATAGTGTGCCATTTGCGACGCAGCTAAAAAGAAAGCAAAACCAGGAAACAGAAAAGACCAATCACAAACCCATAACAAGCTATAAAGGGGGAGACAAATGTAGTTTGCTTTCCATTTATTACAGAAACAGCACTGCAAGACACTTTAGGTTTTAACAAACAGAACTGAGAACCTGTGATTTATTAAAAATAACATAGAAGAAATAATCAGCTGAATAACAACAAACTAAAATATTCAGTGCTGTGGGAAATTTACTGTTACTGCTGCTGTTGCTGATGACGCTAAATGTAGAAGTCTAACATCATTATTTGAACATTCTTAATTAATTTAGTCTTATCTTCAATAATTGATTCAGTTATTCACTTATAAAGCTTCATTGCTAGATGACCAATGTTTAAGAATTATTCAGAGGCGTATTTTTGATGGCTGGTTGTCGCCACCTACAGGTGAAGTAATGTAACTGCTGCCTGCAACTTTCGTTTTTGAGCGTCAAGTTAAATGCATATGACGGTGCATGGTTTCCGCTACATTAATCTTCTATAGCGGGACGCCATGCCAAAATTCAACCCGCCACGGCTACATTACAGCTTCTCATTCTCATTTTTTTAATAGCGGGTAATAATCGCACCAAAACATAGTAAAGGGTAAGTGAATTATAACAGCGCAAACATTTCTGTAACCGCAGTAGTGCTGTGCCTAATTTGTTTAACCCTTTAAGATGACGTGCTGACTGACTGACTGATGCGTGAGGCCACAACGTATAAATATCGCTCTGTATCGCTCTGTAGATCTATTGGAGACATTCATAAATATTTCTAGCAAATCTAATAAATGCTGGAGACATACTCACTACACAAACGCACTAAATCGCACTTCAGCAGTGTTAATTTGAGAGCGCACAAGAAGATCTGCGCGCTCTTGAAGGGGCGTATATTTGAGGGGCGTGCAAGAAGTTTTGTGGACGAGCTGAGGAAATCGGCGCACAAGCAAAGAGATCCGCATGCTGTAGGCCAGTGGTTCTCAAACTGTGGTACGCGTACCACTAGTGGTACGCGGGCTTCCTCCTAGTGGTACGCGGAGGAATCGGCAAATAATGAAAGAAACAATTAACACTTTTAATCCTTTGATGCGTAATCTAACATCGATGTGATCAGCATTGTCTGTTTTGTGAAGCGTACGATCACAATGCTGTGCTTAGAATGTTTATTTTAGTGCTTTGTGACATTAGCTGCTGAAAATCAGTTTCCGAAGTTTAAGAATTGATTCTGAAGCGTGATTTGACTGACATGAAAAGTAGCCAATCACAGTCGACCTTTTCTAGTCGCGTGAAACGTAAGGGCGGGACAAAGGCTTTCTGTGTTGCAGAGACAGAGAAAACAACTTAAAAACAAAAGTTTTGTTGGAATAATGCTTCTCGGATGTTTTCACTATAGAGATGTCTAGCAGAGTAATTAAACCGCGGACATATTTCCTGCCTTTTTGATGATCTACATACACGTTTCGCTCTGCGACAGCCAGTCGACTCGCCTCTGACCTGACACTCCTCTAAACACAGTATGAATGGCGGCGCGGGAATGGAGGTATTGCGCAATTACTCATTTCTCCAAATGTGGCGAGTGCTTTATTTTAACACAAGAGGGCGCATTCATGTACGCAAATCGCTAAAACAGATATGCTAGCTCCTAAATAGGCTTTTTTTTTTCAAATGAACTGCAAGTCCTCTCATGATCGCCTGTGTGCTTAGATTGAATACAATCGCGATCTCTCCACTATTAAAGTAGACATTATTTATCTCTATTCCTTGACTAAATTTAGTCAAAAGTATTCAAAGTTATCAAGTATATAGAATTAGATTGATGCATGATCGATGACAATGCAAATGGTCTTCTTTTTCTTATTTGGCTGTATTGTGAAGTGAAACTTACTTTTAGCAAAGGTGGAACTTATTTCTTTACAACAAAAGAATTATACTGGAAATGTTTCTGGATGAGGTATTTGTGTGATTTATACATTTAGCTGTATTCTGATCTGTCTTAAAGCATTACAGGTCAAAACAATTTGTTGTTACTTATTGTTTATTTATCAAAATTAACAATAGGCTCTTAAAACACTGCTTTGATAAATGTAGTGTTGTCATATTTCAAATACCTCAAGTAAAATGAAGTCATTTGTTTTATTTTTTTACTGACAGTGTACTTTTTTTTTGTATTTTAGATTAAGATCAAGTGTAAAATAAAATCTACATGTGATGTACAGCTATTTAAGAAACAAATTTGCCATATTGTAAAAAAAAATAGTGTAAAATATGTAAATAAAAGGCTAAATTTAAATATTTTTACCATATACTTTAGTTAAACCTTTCAAAGCTTGAAAATATTGTTTAAAAAATGGGCAAAAGTGTCTCTATGGCCTTAAAGTTTATGTGGTAGTTTTGCCAGTGCTATTAAAAAAGATTAATTGTCATGAAAGGAAAAATCGACCATACTTCCTTTGTTAGTGCAAATTCCTATACATGTAGCTTTGAGATTTAAGCAATTAAACCATTCAATCAGGTTTACACTTAAAAAAAGTGATTTCATAATGAAAATCTGATTATTTTTTTCAAAAGTAATCAACTAGTACTTTTTAAAAGAGTACTTTGTACTTTTACCTAATATTAGTATTATTTACTAAAATTTGTGTTATTTTAGCAGTGTAATAGTATTTTTCCTTGAGTACAAAAAAGATTTCACAAGCATTAAGTGCAGGTTTATTATATTATTAATATATGATTAATAAATATTATTATTATTATTATTATTATTATTATTATTAATGGTTTTTATGTGTATCTATTCCTATGCAATGTTTTATGGGTTGCTGAGAATACATTTCAGGTCTTCAATACATAGCATGTCAGTCTTGAAAAAAAATAGGTGCTGGAATTGATTTTCATTAGGCTGTGCCTGTATGAACCCTGTCATATGTACATTTAACATTTCAAGATTTGTCTGAAAGTGTATGAATATGACATATAGCCTATATTTATGAGGTCCAAGCAACATTTCTAGCTTTTGATGAATAGGCTACTATGAATACTTTAGATTTAAGTGCAGATGTTTTCTTTTTACTTTTTAAGAACAGCGCCATTTTTATGAACCTTTAAAAGCACATTTTAACTAAAACTTTTTTTTTTTTTTTTACCTGCAAGCACAGTTAATGTTCAGACTATTTAAAATGTTTAAAGTGACTGACAATAATACATATTCTTAATAATAGAAATTAATCTGCATCGTTTTTAAACTGTGCACACCTGTAGCTGCTTAATTAGGCCCACAACGCTATTTTTAATACTGGTTAAAAAATA